GGAATTTGAGGATGCAAAGTTCAGGAGTTTTAGTCAGGTAAATATCTTGTTTGTGGCTTTCCTATTGCATCAGTTGACTTATTTTTTGTTAATATCATCCCAATGATAGTGGAATGGGAGATTGCCAGTAAAGCTTATGAAGCCCCTTCCTTTGTGGGGTGTTTAATAATTTTTGGCTGTTCAACATGGGGTACACATTTAGAACCAAACCCCAATTCATTATTTTGCTGAACTGTCACCCAGCTTTGAAAACCTTATACAGTGTGCATTTCTTGATGAAAAACTTACAATACTCAAAAGATAATATATATATATAATGTAATAAGAGCTTGTAAATACAATTCACTTCTAAGAGCTCATAGGTAATTCCTTACCTGTTTGCCAAGTGTTCTGTTGGTTCAGAAAATTTGGTATTGGTTCAATTAATAATCCCCTTATTGTATTGGTATTTTCTCATCTGCTTGATATTGTATTGTTATTGTAAGGAGAAATTCTCACTTGGTCAAGTTGGGTAGTTAAAGGGGTTAAAGGTCTTGTTTGGGGTGATAGGGAGAAGAGAGGCTTTGCAGATTCTTGTTGGAAGCACGGTGTGTGAAGGGAGATGTGGTGGCCCATGAGCCACTCAGCTATTAATCAAACTTCACTTTCTAGCTGTCCTGTTAAATTGACTTTTTTTTTAGTATTGAAACTGATGTGCTTTTCTTGCTCTGTTCAGCCAGCACTTGCATCTTTTCCATCAGCCAAAACTCTAGAGGAACATTGTAGTCTACTACGTTTAAATTTAATTTGTTCATTTGTCTGTTCTGTTCTGATATCCAAGGGGACAACACCAACAGATATATCTGGAACAGAAGAGGTGTCGACTGCTAATGAATCTGATGACAGGGAAAAGCTCAGTGTTGAAGAGGTATCCAGTCCCTCTGCTCTTCACTCTCCTGGGCCTGACTTCAATTTAGACTTTGTTAAATACACATGTAACACCAGAAAGACAGCCATGAAAGAAGGAGACGTGGTTACAATCTCATCCGTTACACAGTCAAGGGTTCAGATTGAGGGCTTCACAAGTGGACGAAACATGTTAGGTGAGGCAAAAATTGAAAAAAAGGATATTCAGTTTTTATTTATGTTATACACAGCCCTTTCACTTCCAGCAGTGACCAGGTAGGAATTTCCACTCACAGTGTTGATGCACATTCAGGCAGACAAGTGATGCAAAGAGAAAATTTTCAGTCAATTAGGAGAGCTTAAACTTAAAGAAATGAATGGAATAGATTAACCAGTATTACTGCTCATTGCACTTTAAACAACTTTCCCTGGTGAAACATTCAATTTGGAACACCTTCTGGTTTTCTCTTCTCATTAGGTTGTGAATTTGTTAAAGCTGTGTCAGGATTTAACTGCCGCCTTTGCAAAGCATTCATCCGCTGTGGAAATGATGTGATTACTCACATCAAAGGCAAGAAACATCAAAAGAACTATCAAGTAAGTTTGTCTTATCTTTGATCTGTAATTGATTTATATGGAAAAAAAGATGTTGTGTTAAATACATGTGTGAGAAAAATCTGCAAATATTTTAAAAGTCAGAGCTAGGGCAAATCTTGTGCTAAATTGTGAATTACTGCCAAAATATTTGAACTATCAACATAAATTGTGATTTTACGACTAAATGTAATGAATAGACCATCTTTTAACCATTTGTTTCTCTAGACATATGCCCAGGAACACCCACAGTATGAAGATCACCAGCTATTGCGAAATAAAGAGTTAGAGCAAGTGTTGGAACCTAAGGAGGGAGAAGAAGTAGTGCTATATGAAGTACTTGATAAAGACATTAAATCAAGCTCTTCAAAGCAGAGGAGCCATCGCAAGGATTCACAGAGTGAACAACAGCCAGAGGTTTGTACTGTTTACTATCAGGTGGCCTTTTCTTTTTTTTCTTGTCAAGCTTTCATAGTAGTCACCCTATGTCCAACTGGGGATGATGCTATCCAACTCATCAACCCTTCAACTCCCATAAGTGATCAAGACAGAATTTCTCCTTACAATATCCATAAAATATCAACTAGATAAGTGATGAGAATAAAGAAAAATATCCTTTTGAGGATAATAAGTTGATCAATACTAAATTGTCTGAACAAACATTATAAGGATTGTATGGTTTACAGTAAGGAGAATTACAAATTTGATCTGAGAGTTAAAGGGTCAAGCTTGTTAAAAGGTCCTGTTATTAAATATCTTATGATGCAATCACTTGTTCAATGTGGAATAATCTCAGACTTTTGATAAAACTGAGCATCATTTGGGACAAAACTATAAAATCGTTTTTGATGGCCTAGCTGAGTGTGCCCTGATATATCTTGTGATGGTAAGTACTTAGTTTGATTGGTATTGAGAATGCTCTGTGTTTAGTTTTCAAATTGTATTTTAAATTTTACAGGTACCAATAACAAAATTTGTGGTAGCCCCAGAGGGTTATGATGAAGACTCCCAATTGCAGATCAACTGCGAAGCTGCAGATGTGCATTTAGACCTGGGAGACCTTGATAACATTAATGAGGACTCACTTTTGGCAGACCAAAGTGGAGATGAACATGGAGAAAGTACTTTAGAAGAAAAGTTTCCTATATTCGGCCAGATAGAACAGTTTGGAGATGAGGAAGTGCCAGAAAGTGACTTGTCATTATCAGGAACAACACCACAACTTGATGTGAGTGCATTCTTAAGAACTACTTGATGAAAAAAAGTCACGTGTTGCATTTGAATCTTGTAGGGTAGATCCAAGCAACTGTAGTTAAATCTTCATATGTTTGTTTTTTCTAACTTTCACGAATGGGGCCTCTGATAAGCAACTTGATGTAGAGAGCTGCCTTTGTATTCACATAGGTTAGAAGCCTTAATGTGTTGTGAGATTGTGATTTTGTTTGAAGATAAGAGTTTACATGTCAGAGTAGTTTTCACTTTGGATTAGATAAACCAGAATCAAAGCAATAACAACAGCCAATCAAAGTAAAGATTGACATCATCATTAGCCATTCAAAACCTGAACTAAAAACAGGCAAACTTCTTGAAAGGTGGGCAAAGTGAGCGAACAAGTCAGGATTGGTTTTAGTTTTGAATCTGATTGGTTGAGATGGTGGTTTTTTGGACTGATAACACAGCTAGGTAAAGCAAAGCCATAAGAATCATGGATTATTTTAGACACTCGATTGGAATCAGCTCTGGCAAGCTTAACAAACTCACCTAGATGTAGAATGAGTGAACCTATGAGCTAAGCGGTACATACTGCTTGAGCTTATTCTGGTCTAAGTAGCACGAACCTAGTGATTTGGTATTCTCAATGGATATGATGCACACTGATGGCACAGATAACCTTTACCCTTCAACACCTAGAAGTTGCTAGCATCTAATATCTCCCTACAGTATCACTATTGAATCAAACAGAAAGGTTATGAGAATACAGGAAATGGCCACACACCCAAGAGGCACATGATTGTTATATGATAATTTCTCCTTGACAATTCCATAGGAAAAGTATAGAGAACAGTTTGAAGAATATGCATACAGATGTTGGGGTGTAAAGGGTTAAGCATTTCGTCAACTTTCCGATTTATCCTCGATGACAAAAGCTACTTTAAAATTAATGGGCCTTCTCAAGAACACAGTACAGTGCCTCCTAACCACCAGACCCCAGAGGGTCTCGCGCAACATACCACAGCTTAAGTATTTTGTCTCCCATTATTTTCATAGGATGTGGAGGACTTCACTCCAATGGCCACAGATGAATCTGTGAACAACGAAGAGGTTGAAGAGCCAATACCACCCGTCTCCATCGCTCCCGGTCAAAACGTCGAGCTTGTGGAGCCAGAGACACCGACGAGTTCACAGGAAGAGGTCGAGGAGTCGCCTCCTGTAAGAGAAACTACCCCTACTGGAAGGCGTGGCCGGAAGAATGCTAGGGGAGGAGCCGGTAGAGGGGGGACAGCACGTGGACGAGGGCGCGGTCGAGGAACAAAACGGGGCACCAGAGCTGCGACAGGTGCGGGCAAGTCTTCAAAAGCTAAAAAAGTGAAAGTAGAAGTAGCTCCAGAGAATGATGATATGGACTTAATGGAGGGATTTGAAATAATAGACGAGATTGGCGATGCTGAAGATTAGAAAAGTAAAAAGCCACAAACTTTGTTAATTTCTGCAAAGTCATGAAGTAATGAGTATTTTTATGGTGTAATGCTTCTTTCGTAACTCTTCGTTGCTTTAATGGAACCACCTTTCTCGTTTATTTCGGGTTTAAATCCTGTTGAGCTCAAATATTGTGTAGAAGAATTTGTTTCAAGAGTTTGACACATTCACTGAGTTGTTCTGGTGTTAGCATATCTGTTACTTGCCTTTTAAAAAAATTAAGCACTTGTAATGATGCGGTATTTAAGCAAGGTTATCATGGCAAACTCTCCAGATGTAAGCCTAACAGTTTTGATCATTGTCTAGTTTTGTTTAAACTTTTGCTTAAAGCAATAATTAACATATATTGAGTACCAACTCAACTTGATTTTTGGATCGTAAGTTTAACTTCTATTGATATTACAATTGGAGTAATCCCATTAATATTGGTAATAAGAAATTTTCACCAGCTAAAGAAGCTCTCGATTGGTAAACAATTTCTACTTGTCAGCACCTTGAAGAGCTTCTTTAATAATGATCATTTCCTTCATTATCATGGCGCTTATGTTTGATGTAGGGTGATAATGTAAGTTGAACTAGCTGCTATGAGAAGCCCAGCAATGGGCTCCTAATGCCAGTCACTTTAAGGGGTCAAAGTGTTGAACCTCGCGCTGACGGAAAACTGGCCACCAACCAATGTTTTTTACCCTCTCCAAAAATACTTGAAATGTGGCACTATTTGATAGTATTGTGCTGCTATGTGTAATGAATATTTCTTCTTTTCGAACAGATGAAATACTGGCTGTAAATCATTTTAATTAAGCTTTCCTTATTTACAACAATCACACTCTAGCAAGTGTCGCCTAACGCTCTCTATAAAAGTGTTTTTGCTCAGCTCCTGGGTTCCTGACTTTCTCAAAATGCCATATATCTCTTAGGTTAGGAAGTGAGCCCACTATCGAATTCTCTAGCGGATTCTCTCTTTGAAACCATGCGAACTGGAGTGCATCAAGCATTTGTCTCTCAGATTCAAGCTGCGAGTCATACCCTTCCCTTTGTAAATTTGCATTTGGTTTGTTGATTCCAGTCCAGCTATAAAGCGAAGATCTCCGCGTTAGAAACAAAATGCAAACGGTTGGATGTAATCCAGACTTCCGAGCGTTCAGTTAGTGAAACGAAGCACGATAGTAAACGGCTCAATAGTACCGGAGTGGTGAAAAACGAGAGAGGTTCGAATCAAATTGCGACTCGACCCAAACCTCCCTCATTTTCGCTGTACTGCCACTGTCACCGTTTACTATTTTGCCCCGTTTGACTCACAAAACGCTTGGAACAGGTTCAATTTCAACAATCCACATCAAGATATTGAGCTCTAAGTGAAACTCCGCATTTCACAAAAGCTTTTTGACCGACAGGTATGAAAATTATGTCCTCGCTATTCCACCTTCGGAGGTGAAAAGTGAGATTACAAAAAAAGAGAAAAAACATTTTCAGAATGGTAACATAATCATTGATTAACACAAGAGATCATGACAGGCTTGTAGGTGATCTACAAGGTCGTGACTTTGAATTTTTCTCACTCGGTGGCAAGGCTTTTGAATCTCCCGGCCGTCGACAATTATTCAAATTTTCTCTAATGTACTAGAATCAAGGAATAATGCAAAATATTGATAAGAAATTTTACCTTAATCCGTCGGTCAGCATCTGAGGTCTGTTACCCCTAGCAATCTGCGCGAGTTTTTCACGGTAAATCTGCTCTTCCAAAGCGTGAATTTCTACTTCCATTTGAGCTTTAATCTTTAATATCCTCTCTCTCTCTAATGGTGATAGCTTGCATTTCCTGAGGTGAAAAAAAGAAACGCGTTTCATTTTTCAAAACATGCCACTGTATTTATTTTTCGATAACTGGTCGATGTAACCGAGGCTTTAGGTTGAAGTGACCACACATACACACGCACAAAAAAACGGTAAATAGTGGCTGTGGAAATAATATGATTGTTTTGTTCGTTTGCTTCTTTTTTTCTTTCTTTCGTCCCTTTTTCATATTGATTGCGCAGCATTTCAAATAGCTTTCTGCTCAACTTTTGGGCTGTTTTGATTATCATTGTGTGTGATCCGTTGTAATAAAATTGGAATAAATAAAACCCTAATCCTAACCCTAGGCAACTTAACGACTTTTGAACGGAAAACTAAAACTAGTGTCCTGAAGTGGTATTTTGGATTTGCGCTGACTATTTTCTGTGGCTGTACTGCGGTCCTAGAAAAGTCTGCAGCTAATGCAACAAAAAAGAGTTAACGCAGTGAAAGACAAACGCTCGAAGACTTCGAACCTTTTCTGTTTCTTTTCCCGTTGTCTTCTTTGTTTGTAAGTACTCCAAGAAACACCCATTCAAGGTAAGTCACTAGTCAGCAGCTCTCTCTGCGAAACACGGGCAGAGCAAACGTCTTTTGCAACTGAAATGTTTCATTTATGACGATGCAAAGGAGGAACAACGCGCGTGCTTGAATCAGCCAATAGGAACAGCTTCCTGTGCATTCCATCACAGCACGCGCATCGACACGCGCATGTTTACGTTTGTGCAGACTTTGACACGCGCTTCTGGCTTTGACTCGAAATACAACAAATGACTCTGCAGGATTTTGAACACAACGACAAGGTCTGTTTTGAAAAAAAAAAACTGAGATCTGATGATGATAATGATTCCGTTGAAGAAGGATCAAGAACATTGACTGATATTTATTAACATTGCGGCCCTGGGTTATTCTTCTAAGTTTGGTATTCTTTCTAAACGTTCCACTTCTGGGACGGTTTTCGTAAAATATAAGAGTTTGTATGGATTATTTGCGACTCTCTTAAGAAGTAAAAATACAGTCAGATTTTCAATAAGATACCTTACCTTACTTCACAGTGCATTGCTTGTTGTCTGACCGATTACTATGTTGAAAAGAAGCCATTTTAGCAGGTTATTAATTTCTAGGTTTCCTACTCCTTAGAGAAGACAGTAGGAGTAGTAATAAACCAAGAAATGGATAACTCGCTAAAATGGCCTCGTTGCATCAAATTAAGCGGTCAGAAAACAAGCAATTCATTGTGAAAGTAAGGCGAGGTATTTTCATCAAAAATTTGACTGTATTTTTAATTTTCATTCCTTAGAGCGATCGTAAATTTCCCCGTACAAACTCCTATATTTCCTCCTCTTATTACGCAAGATGATCACCTCACAGGTTGGGCTACCTGTGGGGAAATACAGCCTGTCAGGAGGTTTTCATGAAGTAATTGTGATCTCTGTGATCTTCACCGGGGATCTCTTTGACTTCTGTCACTTCTTGACTTTGGAAATACAGGCTGTAGCCGCTTTTGTGCGCGAGAGATTCGATCTGAATTTTTCTCTGCATTTGCCAAATTGCAACTCACTCGCTAAGATCGTTTCTTTACATGATTTCCATTTGCATGTCAGCTTAAATTTATTGCATCGCAGTGCATGATCAGATCCCTCTACGGGAAAGGGGGAACTCTGAAGTTTGCCTCACTCTCAACATGTTGCTTCGTAACTTGTAACGGGGAGGCATGGGCACGAATCTCGCCGAAACCTGAATTTTCTCATAATTTCTTTGATTCATCTTACATCAGTGAAAAGCAGCAATATAATAACCTATGATCTACAATAATTTTCATCAGAAAGCTGGCAGTTTTGTGTTCAACGGGCGCCCGGAGAAGCTAAGCTGCAGAGAGGCATAGCCGATCGATGACGCAAATCCGTTGATCCAGATAAGGGAGTCCAACGAGTTGGCTTTCTCACCTTCTGGGCGCAGGAGGCGGGATGGAGCACTCCGGAAATAAAACTTATAGTTAGATTTATAATTAGGTTATTGTTCTTCTAGCTTTTTGATGCATTTTCCGCGGGTTTTTCAATTTTAAAATGCTCAATTATCTCAGGCCTTTCTTCGCTCCATTCCATCATGTTGTGATCGTCACGTGAATATAAACATACTCAATTGGGTGACAGATTCCATAGTTTGTAGCACTGTGAACGGTAGCGCAGCCGGCATTGCAAGGAAGACCTGGCTTTTGCGAAGATCAAAGGAAGAGGCAGCCATCTACAAGTAAATCATCTTTTATTCTATTCCTTAATTACATGTTTAGATTAATACTGATTTATGTTAAAGCTTCAGAGTAGCAAATTAGAGCGAAATGGATCAGCTACAAGACTACCTTCCACGGTGCGAAGCGCGCGATTCCCTTGGACTTGCCGAAATGGAGCGCTTTACTATCAAATAGGACGCTTGACTCTCGATGCATTCCTTTCTTAATTGGGTTTATTTTCAAAGTAATGAACATCTTATAGTTTATACGTTAATTTTTTTAGAGTAAAACATCGGAGAGCTCTTTGGGTCGCCTGCTCAAGCCTTGCGCAATATTTCGGGAAACCTGAGTTAACGTGGTCGTCCAAAAATTTGCAATCCCTGCGGCTAGTATCCCTCGCAACCCTCTCTTTTTCAGACTCAAAACCCGACTGTACAATGTCAGGGAAAGTGGAATATTGTGAAAATCTCACTTGAAGCATGCCTCTTTTAACCGGTTCACATAAGCTTCAACCAGGTACATTTAGAGCGTTCGTAATGAATGAGGCGAAATTCTCTTTCGTTAAGAAACATTACATCCGTTCTAAATGTCCTCTTAAGCACTTTTATAGAAAGTTTCTGAAGTTGTTTCGCCGCGATTGTGGTTCTACCGCAACCAACTTGCTCAAGAGGTCTTTTCGCTGCAAGACTTAAAAATTTGTAAATATGTTCCCGGGGGACATAGTTTGATGCTACTCTGGTTTGCAGATTTAATGAATGTAACCGAAGAAGTTACAAATCATCAAATCATCACTTGTTCTCGGGCGTTAGCTTCGATGAGAAAGCTATAAATTATATTAATTTTTTCATCTGTATTCTTTTGTGTAGAATCTGCGTCAAATTTGTGTCAAAAACAAGCCTGATGACAGATGTGGAGGGATGTCACGCGGGCCTCAAGGTGAAGAAGATGAGTCGGCGAGTACAACGAAAGCTGTGATTTTCGCAGCGCTTGACGATATTTGTCTAAGGGACTGCTTGTACGCTCTCTCTTACGACAACAGACAGGTTACTCTGGTGATTCATGTGGTTTCAATTTACTGGATGGACGCAGCTGGGACCTGCGCTCTTATTTGGTACAGACAGGAGGATCAAAACCTTTGTAAGTGTTTACTCAACCTTTTGTTTGTTTACTTAAATGGCTCAATCTTTTGTCAACATTTAGATGGAGAAGCTATTGAAATAACTTAGTACCACCCTTTGTTATTGGAATTATGTTTACTTAATAATTCTGCCCACCAGGCATTAAAAGCTGTAATGTAAATCTATTGTTCCTGATACTTAGTGTTTTTTCTTGTGGTATTGAGGCAATTTTGTTGCTTCATGGTATGAATGAATTGTAGCGAAGTTCTGAGTTGGAATTATCATTTTCCTTGGCTCTTCTTGTCATTGGAATTTACTTCACAAATGGTTGTTAGAGGAGGTACTCTGAAGAAAGTCGGTTTACAAATAAGAAACTTGAAAGCAATCAGGGCTAAATTTTCTTAGGTGGAAGAAACTTGAATTAGCTTTTTCAAAGGTGTTCACCCCATTTAAAAGATGGAGACAAGTGTCTAAGTTCAGCAGTTAGCTATTGCTGTGACACGCATCCTCAGAGACCCTGGGGCTTTAAGTTGATTTCAAGTTGGGGTGGAAGAGCTCCTAGGGACATTGTCTTGCGAGACCAGTTCCATATGATTTCAGTTATTCTGGCTTCTGATTGGTGCTAGAAAATCTGTGTTTTTCTGCCCAATCAGAGTGAAGCAGAGTGGAGTCCTTTCCTGTGTTTAACACAGACATTTCTACATGAATCATATTTCTTTCTATATTTCTTATGTAACTTCTTAACTACAAGGCTGGTTTCTATGTAAACTTTCTCCTGCCAAATCTTGCATTCTAGAGTGACAATGGACATTCTGTTGGGTCATATTTGGATTTTTGGTGGTCACTCTTACTCAGGTGACTTGACCATATTTGGTAAAGTCATCTGACCACAGCAGAAAAATAAACCTCTAAACTCGTGCAGAACACATATCAGGAGAATAAAAGTCACATTTTTAGATCATGAAGATACTTGCGGTAAATCATACTTTTGAGTTTCTGGAAATTTTGAATTATACAGAGGAGATGAATTTTTTTAGGGCTTCCCTCACACATTTCTTGCAACTGTAGTTGATCTACAAAAAAATTAAAATCCGATACATAGGATGGTGCTGTAAATTTTTCTCTCTGATCCTCTGAAAATAATAGCCTTCAACCATTTTCCTTCAAGGGGAAGGCTTTTTTGCTCTCAAAGTCCATGCTTTTACCTGATTGAGGACTGGTATTAGTCACAAACATGCTCTTCCACCGCTTCTGGGATTGAGTTGCCATGTTTATTTCACACAATGAGAAGTTTGATGGGTAGGCTGGCCACAGTAGTCTTTCTTCATACATTTTCAATGCCTTCCATAGCTATTAGTTATAATTCTGGTGTTAAAAAGGACTTGTATTCCTGGTATTGAAAGGATGGTAAAGAAGAAGAGATGGTTATCTAGTTGATAAACACACCAGTAGGTTGCGCTATGGTATAAAGATGTATTTGTTATTATGATTGTTGTGATTTTAAAATATTTCAGTATGATTGTTTAATCATGCTTACAATATAGTTTGCATCTGTGGGCTTAAATTTCACACTTCGGTTGAGTATAACACAGGAGGCATTCATAGTAAAGTGTCTGTTATTTATTTTCTGCCCACATGAACTCGCACATATCTAACGTACCTGTTTATGAAGATGCATTTGCATCATGCATACTTCCCTATAATGTAAAAAATTGATATTTTGGAGCAAATTTAAAAATATTCATCTAAGTATTTGCCCAGTAAATGATATTTACCCATTGTATTTACTTATCTCTGTTAATCTTGAACCTTGCAAAATAATCTCAACCCAACTTGCATTGAAGTGAACCTCTGCAGACTTTTTTTGACTTTTGAGAGCTGTGAAAAGTTCCTAAAGATATTGTGTCTTGTTTGGCTGCTGCAATAAAAAAATTTATCACCTTCCAGTGTGAAAGGTTTGCAGAGATGAATTCTTCACTGTCTCTTCTAACTAAGCATGGCTAATTCCAGCTTTTGCCAATTTTCAAGCAATGTTGCAAGGGGAGCCTTTTCCAAAACAAAACATGATCATTATGGTGTCTCACTGGAAAAAATAACAAACAATCAAGTTGGTTTAAACTTGAGGTTTTACTTATTTTTTTTAATTGAATTTTCACTAAAATCCAAGCTTGGCAAAAACATAAAATTTCCAATTTAGATAGACAAGTTAGATTTTTTTTAACCAAACTGGAAAATTAGAGAAAACCATAATTGGAAAAGAAATTATCCAAATAATTGTATTATATTCATTAATTTTCAAAAATCTAGATATGGATTTAGCTTATTACTTATTTGTATTTTATAGATAACCAACTTTGTTAACTTAGTAATCCTGGTTTGGATTACCTGACAACAACAAGAAATTTATTTGTACCCTACATTAATTTACATGATACAAAAAAATATATATTACATGTAAAATGGAGAGAGTTTAGGCTGCCCATAATAACTGTTGAGGGCTATAA